GAAGACCATTTAGGGCTGACTGCCTGGGGGTCAAGATCAAGATGGCTGACCTAGAGATAGGGGGGTCTTTGACCTTGACCAAGGTTGACTAAATCAGACTTCTGATGAGGGTTTTTATGATGATGAATTTTTATTTTAACCACAGCGAATATTGCTTCCAAATATTCAAATTTTTGCCTGACTCAAATTAATGCAATTTATGGTATTTATTACCATATGAATGATTTTTTGAATATTTTTGCATATTATCAAATTTTTGGTCTATTTATTGCAGATTACCAATACCATGGTTATTGTACAGTGCAATCTATGCTGGAAAAGCAGTGTCTGTGATAAGCTCTGGTCTTTACTGTTCCATTGTCTTGTTGTTTCTAATGCTGATTTTGGTGATCACAGCCATCATGGTCAACAAATGGAAAATGACCAAATACCTGGGGATAACCATGTTTGTACTGTATGCAGTGTTTCTCACACTCAGTATCTTGTTAGAATACCAAAAAATTGTATGCCCCCTCTAAAGCTGGTCTTATCTACCCTGTGAAGTAATGTAATGTTCCTGTTTTAATTAGTCAGACATTCAACCTTTCTGTCACCAGAGGGCTCTCTCCAATTTTAGTTGAATAAGTAATGGAGGAGGTTATAATTTTAGCTTGAAGATGATAAAGCTAAAATTGACTTCTTCTTGAAAACTACCAGTCCAATTGCTTTGATACTTAATATAGATACCTTAGATACTTTGTCAGATTTGTTCATTTCATTAATTTTGGTAAAAAATTATATTTTTGCTTTAATACTTGACATTTTGATGATATTAATTTTCTATTTTTTAGCAATAGCAATTATTGTCATTTTTTATTTTTGGTTTCTTCTTAAAAACTAACAGTCCGATTACTTTGAAACTTTACTTGTAGCTACTTTGGATGGACCACTGTCAGATTATAAATCTCTATTTTAAGCGAACATTTTTGTCATTTTTGGCACAAAATGATATTTTTGATCTACTATTCTGATGTGTTTGATGTATGAGGTGTGCATAATTTTTGTCTCGGGGAAGGGTGAGGTGTTATTTGAGAATTTGCAATCAGTTGGATGTGAAGTTAGGTTGACTTAGCTACCACAATGTTCATGTAGGACAGCAAAGAAGCTATTTCGACCATCAAGTCACTTGTTTACATAAATGTAACTTCACATTATTGTCTCCAATAGTAGTCAAATCATGTTTTCAGTGTTTCGATTTAAAATACATTTACTATTTGAGAAATGTTTAAAATTCAAAGGCAGCCATTTGTTTCAAACATTCTTTGTTAGATTAATTTTAACTCCTGCTTCCATCCATCCAACCAATAAGTAAGCCGTCACAAAATGCAATCCAAAATATGATAAATTTTTACATTTAAAAAAAAAAATATTTATAACTACCGGGTACATATTTTCAGGGTTTTGGTTTTTTAAAGAAATATTAATTTAATTTTTTTCGTTGCAGTCAAATGCTATAAAATTATTTACATATTCAAATTTTGACCTACCGGTAACAGCCAATTATCTGAATGTATTTATTAAAACAATTTACAAAAAAAATTTGTTTATAAATTTCAATTTCAGGAAGATGATAAAAATCACTGTTTTGACTAATTTCATATGTACTGTCACTGAGTTTTTGGTAAGTGCGAATGTCAAAAATATCAAAAGTATCATTGGGGATAAATTGATGCAAAGTTTGTTACAGTGGGCACAAAAAAGACTTTGTATGGGGAGTTAGCAAACTCCCTACGAACATTGCAATATAGTGGGGGACTCTTTTTGGCGATATCAAAATACCTATATGTTATGAAAACGATTTGCTACATTTTGTGGCAATCTCACTTTCCCTGCGGCCACCTGATTTTAGACTAATTTGTCCAGGTACGTACTATGACTATAAAGTCATGGAAGTTGTAAATTATCTGTACTTATTTGCGATCACTTCATCCGTCTGGGAGAAGTGGATGGGATTATTGAAACATTGATAGGGTTCAGGGATGTTGCAAGTTACCCGTAAGAATCTTGTTTGCACCCACTGTAGTACGTCATTTGTGATATCTTACCTATATTTTTCCCCTTTAAAGCCTTTAAATAGACAAAACTTGTTTGTTTTACTATTTTCAGTCGTTTGAGAATACAATATGATTTATGAGGAAATTAATTCTACAAAAAAAAACACGTTAAAACTGTTATTAATTAATTTAGATAGTCACTGCTATTCTATCTCTTTAAATTAATTTATCAATTATGTACATAATTTTTTTTGTTTTTGTGGTGATGATACCGGTATATCATTTCCTGGTTTTGCTGTACGTCTTACATTTTTGTTGATTTAAGTATTTTCCGAAAAAACTTTATTGTAAAAACATAATGTACATATTGAACAATATTTTTTTCATGGGTTCAAAAGCTTTTTAAAATATTGAGCATCTTTTTAATGTACATCGATAGTGACTTATAGGGCATCAGTAAATATAAGGCTTAGGAAAGTTACAGCCGTGAAAAGATGCTTTTTATCTATATTTACATTTCTACAGACTCTGTAATATAACCTCACAACAAGGACTTGTAAGACTACATGTATTGCTGTATAATAATGTTGGATGAGTAACCTTGGTGACAGGATCATAGAATTATATATTTTGACTGTAAGTGATTAGAAACTATACTATAAAATGCTTTTAAAGTATATTAAAAGTATTGTTATAAATATATAATTGATGTGTGCTTTGAGTATACTATTAAAATACTGAGTAGTAATTGTATACAGCATGCATAATTGAATAAATTCTAATTCTGGGTTCTGATAATTACAGTGTGGGAGACGTTGATGCACAAACCCATGTGTACATGTTTTCTGAAATTCTGACCTATAAAGTTGGGTCGTTATCTGAAATTTATTTTACGATTCTCTAAACTGAATGACATTGTCTATGCTTATGTACATCTCTGTGTAGTACTGGATCTGATTAATGAAACTACATGTACATGTAAAACACAAATTTTGATTTGTTTTGCCAATGAATTATTTTGCCGTATGCACAAAATACTTAATTTACATCATTTTTCAACCTGACATGTGTGGTTCGCCTTTATCTATCATCCTCATATGATACAACTTTTTTTTTTTTCTCTGTACACTAATTAATCGTGGAATCTTCGATTCACACCATAGTTTTAATTTTGTCCACTTGACGTATCTATTCAACCGTTATTTTACCGAATTCAATACTAAATATGCAAACAAATATATCCAAGATAGAAAAATTCATATAAAAATTGTAACAAGGAACAAATTCTGACCATCTTGAGAAGAAACAATACTAAAAAAAATAATCTGTGTTAATCTGCAATTTTGATTTGATGGTGCTGATAATCACAATAGACATGACATCCTTTTTTAATGATATACATATGTATATTTCCATTGATGATATGACATTAATGCTTACTATTGTGTACAGCATGTTAAATGCACTTTCACTAATTGTCAGAAAGCATTAATACATCACTTACTATCAATGACAGCTTTCGGTCGGTGGTGTAAACTAATTAATTTTCAGTACTAGGAATTGTTATGATTTGGATAAATTACATTTTTTATTTTCACTTTTACAATTTCAATTTTGTGATTTTCATCATCAAAAATTGTCTTGTGCGAAATCAAACCAGTTTACAGAATTTTGCCAAAGCCAACTATACCAATTATAACCTAGTAGTAGAAATAAGAGGTATCTTTTTAAGTTGCAAATGAAAAACAATGGTTTAATTGTACCAATATTATGTCTTTCACTGAAAAGCCAAAATATATTGATTTCCAGAATGACTACTCTTGTCAAAAAGCCTATTGTGATTTCTGCATGTTGATCTCAACCCCATATAATGGTCACTAATTTACATAACAAAACATTTATGTAAATTATTGTCTGTTGTTATAATTGCATATGAAATAAAAGACTTAGATATTTATTTAGATTGTTAATATTTAAAAAAACACAATAGAATTCGAATTTTTATTATGTATTAACATTTACTAACTACAAACAACACATACCATTTTCTCATCATATCTCTTTTTATATCAGAATATCCGTCCCCGGTTAAATGTGTAACATGGTGTCTTACCTACTCATTGTTTTTGTGGAGTGCTTGTATGTTGGCAGAACAACACATTGTTTATTTAGACAATAATGTAGTATGTGTAGTATATAGCTGTTTAACATTCTTTGTCAAAAATAAATAAAAAATACTGTGGAATACTTTATTTTCGCTGGAATTTATTTTTGCTGAAAAGGCTTTTTGGGCGTTTTGCTTGGAATTTATTTTCACCGATTTTTGATGAGATTATTATGTAAAATATAGGAAAAAATGTATATTCACCGGATTTTATTTTCACGGAATCATCCCTTCAGCGAAAATAGCGAAAATAAATTCCAAGCGAAAATAAAGTATTCTACAGTACTTAAATTACAATGTTTAAACTATGTAAATAAAATCCAACTCAATTTTGTTTTGTAGATATTTCTCATCGTAGCTATCCAATCATCTGGTTTTCAATTAGGGGAAAGTACAAACATTTTCAGAGTCTTAATACAAAAATAATTGCCGTTTTTTGGGGGGAAGATTGGGATGGGGGAGGGGGGGGGGTTCTAACCAATTCATTGTGGATGTTCATTTTCATATAGGAACTCTTTTAAACATGTATTATTTTCTTTATGAAGCTGTAGCATTATTTGGGAGGGGTGAGCAGCTTATATAAATTTTTTCTTGATAGTGCAATACTTTCTAATACTTTAAAAGGAATAATCCTTAGTCGTGGATTATTAGGTCAGAGGTCATCGATTCCGAAAACTTTTAAATTGTTGGGACTCGATGGAAATTATTAAGATGTTAGGATAATTTCTTGAGTTTAACTCTGTAAAATTATTGACAAATAAATATCTCTGCACAGTGAAAATGCATTTTGTTTGGTCATTTATATGTATGGGGATGTTTTACTCACAAGATTAGTTATTAATTATATCGAGGATTTATAAGGTAAGGGTAGGCATGGTGTGATGTGCAATGAAGATCTCGTGTGAACTGTAGATGTTTGTTTGTTCTGTGGTTATTTCTCTGCAGAAACTGATAGTCATAAAATCGCAAGAGAAACTTGCATTTTGAGAAATTTTTCTGTCATCGCCACATTGTTTCAAACACCAAAACAGCAACATTGCCAGCTAAGTTGCTTACTGGTTTGCTAAGCAGGCTTGGCGATCATTACACGATTAGAACAAGTTGAGTCAATCCTCCTCTACAGAAGACGACAAACTAATAATGGGTGACTCAGACACATCAGAATATAAATAGAAGATCACAATGCGATTAGTTTTCAATATATTTTATTCAATCTTATACATTTCAATATGGTAAATGTCAAATTTATGTATTTGCACAGTATGAAATGCCTGGACACAGGCGATGGTGTATCTGGTGCGTGTCATTCAAGCGGAACGTGCACTCTCTTGAAAGTGGTTTTAACTAACCAGTTCTAATCATTAACTATCTTGAGACATTAATAACAATCCAGTCAGCAACTTAGCTGGCAATGTCACTGTTTTGGTGTTCAAAAGAATATGGCGATGACTATAATGCAAGTTATTGAGTCCGTGAAAGAAACTGGTTCTTGCTCATCTTTGACTGTTTTTAGTAGTGTCCTTGCTCATTCATGAAGCGTTTTCGGATAGGTGTACACGTTTTTTGGTTGCAGCAAAAAACCTTGCTCATTACTGTTTCCCTGAACATTTCCAAACACTCGCGCTACGTTCAATTGACACGCACCAGTGCATCTTGTCAGTCACTATGTACAAATATGATTCCAGATAAAATGCACCATACCCTTTCTTTCTGAAGGAATATGCTATAAGAGTCCTAGACCCTTTATTATTCCTCCAGTGAATGCAGTACACAGAGTTAGAGTTCTTCCTCAATGTCCAAACTGCCGGAGTCCAGATCAAACAGAAGACAGAACTAGGCATTTAGTGTACTAGAATATAATAAAGACCAGAAATGAAGCATTCTCGGATTGACCCACAAGCTCTGTATTTGATTTTAAGACTGATAGATGTTTTTTTCCCAAATTTTTGAAACATTAAGTTAGACCACTTAAAAATCACTCAAAGCCAAATTAGGATTTTTGACTGTTGTCCATCTTGAACTTTCCAGGTATAATGTACATGTACCACCTTACCCTCTCTACAACTTCCAGGGATGAACGGGTTGCAAAACCTGGCAACTGAACAATGCTTTTGACTGCCAGATGTTATTTCTACAGTAAAGCTAAACTAAACAGCGCCCTCTATGTCAAATCCAGCATACCTGGAGTTTTTTTTTTATGAAAATATAAATAGCACCCTCTACGCCAACCTTCAATATCCCTGATGTTTTTTTAGTTACAACAAAACAGCAACAAAATATTGAAAAATTTGATCTTTAATAATTTACACAATAAGTTAGAATGAACATTTCGAGTTTTATTGACATGATCAGAAATAACCGTGAAAAAAAAAAATATTTGATACTGTATGTTAATCAGGAAATAAAAGATTTTTCTTGCAGCACCCAACTTACTATTCTTTTGTAGAAATGACAAGCCAATACACATGCACTGATTGTTTTAGTATTCACAATAATCTATGCAAATATGAATGTTGAGTGTACTGCAAAAGTTTAGTTTACAATAAAATCATAATCAAATTTCTCCATCAACACACAGTAATATTATATTAAAAAACACATTTTTGTGTATATCAGATCTTTAGTCAACAGAAAGAAAATCACTCTCATCTTACATTTGCCAAGTTTTTTTGTCTGGGAGTATTATGTTGATAGCCGTCACTTTCCCTTTAAGCTCATCTCGAACTGAAGCACATATAAACACCAAGAATTTACACACGTTATAAATATGCCTAATTTTGCTCATAGAATATCAGTAATGTTTGTTAGTGCACTATTTGAGCAAATACAATTCCTTTATTTTAGTCAAACATACCCTTTTAATTTGCCACTAGTTTCAGGCTTTCTCGTTGCTAGATTATCACGCAAAAATCAGTCTTGATATTGCAATTAAGGGAGGGATGAAGGAATTTCAGTTGAGTACCAAACATGACAATTTTTTTTTTATTGCAAGCATCCAATTAGCCTTTGAAAGATTACAAAATGTTCATGATTATGGTCAATTCAACCATGTTTGATAATGTAAAAAACTGATAACTTGTTTGCATAAAATTGCATAGTAACAAATTGCCTATTGACACTATTATATATTATTTATAAATACTATATGGTGTAGCTCAACCAAATATTAATGTTTACATAAGTGTTTTTGAAGACCTGCTGAAAAAGCCTGGTGCACATTTTAAATTGCATAAAAATTTGTTGGAAACGTTCAAGGCTAGTTATAATGATAATGTACTAGTTACAACCATATGTGGTACTGTAAAATGACTAATTTTCACTGGGTTTAAATTTCACTGATTTACCATTTCAGGCATATTCAGTGGGTTTTAAATTCACGGTTTCGTCATTTAGATAATGTGTTCTATGCTAAATTTTACATATTCACTGGGTTTTAATTTAGCGCATTTTCCAGTCAGCGAAATAAGCAAAATTAAAACCCAGTGAATAATTACCCCCTTTACAGTATGATGATTGGAGGTATTGCAAAGAGCATATGCTGTACTTGTGTATACAGGTAAAAATACCGGGTAGAAAAAAATAATACAATGGTAGAACCATGAACACATACATTTCTGACATTAGAGTCCCTTTATTTGACAAGTGCAGATAAAAATAACCTTTGAAAAACTAAATTAGCCCAAAGAAAATAGAAAATGATATGATTTGGGTTTTTTTCAAAGTCAGTATCCCTGAACTCTGATGCACTTGGTATATCAATGGTCATTTTTAAAACTTATTTACATAATACCATAGTTTTTTCACCCCTCAGATATATCAAAGTTTGATATGGTTATGTACATAATTAATTCTCTTGAATGAGCTGCGTGGATAGTTCATTTTGCAGGTGTTTGAGCAAGCAGCAACACTGAACCGAAATGACACATTTTCTGTTACAGCTCATACCAACACAGGAGTGTTTGTACCATTGCTTGTTAAGTTGTTTGTTTAAGTTTCAATGCCAACTTTTGAAGAAATTGACATGTGCAGTTTTTTTTATACGTACACAATCACAGAGCACCATTTCTTTTTGGCTATCTCTCTGGATGTTTTCGTGGTGAATCCACAACAGCTGGAGCACGCACACACAATGTAAAAATACTCATATTGACTTCGTCACCTATTACGCGTAGTTCTAGTCCGGCTCTTCGTGCTCGTTCCATGGCTTGGCTGTTTATACTGTGACCTGAGTGATGTGAAAGGTGTCTATGTGAAATGTCTATGGTTGGCATATGCGTCATTGTACCAGGAGCTGGTTCCCCAGCACGCAAGTTGACGCCGATATTGTTCACTTTTGTCATCATCCTCTCAAAGCTGTATTTCATCAAATCAACAATGGTAACAGAAGGATCATTGAATCTGCAAACAAGAAATAAGAACAAGACAAGAGAGAGAAACATTAATAAAACACAAAAAAAATCCTGGCACAGTCATCAAGTATATTGGAGAAACATTGAGGATCATAAAATATTGCACTAAATAAAACCAGATTCTTGCTAGGTTTACATCAGGACACATTTACACATCGATTTTTGAGCTGCGATAAAATGCTGTAATGTAGACAAGGTTCTTGTGGCGAGACTTACAAACCATTGTTCTACATTAATGCCAAACACAAGATGTGATAGTGTTACCATGGAAACTGGTCCAGTACAGACAGATTAGCCAGGTCGCAGTCATAGAGGAACTGTGGCCAGATTTAATTTACAAAATATGCAATTACTCCAACCACAGTTGAGAGACTGTGCTCCAACATGTTAACAGGGTCACGATTATACCACCTTTCAAACATTTTTTTACCGCATATGACAGGATTCATCGTGTTTTCATATATGGCATGATTAGGATATCTCTCATCCCCAGACATAAGTAATTACTAGTATACTGATTCGATTTGTTTATGTCGTAGAGTTATACCCAAATTGTCTACAGTAGATGTGACAACATTAAAACGACGGTGTGTATTTTGTAACATTTATTTTGTCGTTGACACAGCATACGTGTCCCACTGTTCGACAAATACGTTTGATTAGAGAAATATATTCACATTCCCAGACTAAAACATGTTTTGTTGAACTTCTGTACCTGGTAACAGACAGAATTATCAGTGTATTTTTACTCGCACTCACCTTGCGGGAAATTTGACAAGAACCTGTCGAACAGTCCCCTTACGTTTTCCCCTGGCGCTTTCGGGCTTTCCTGCGAATCTCTTCCTTGTTCCTCTCTGAAAGTCTGTGCTTTTCTGACGTTCTACAACAGCGTTTGACTTTCGACTATTGGGAATTTTGTTAACATAAAAGCTTCCAGTTTCCTGTTAGTTCGTAGAAATCATTTTCGTTTCGGCGCGGCTCTTGTAAAACCGGTGTATATTTTACCCAATGAGCGAGCGTGTTCAATGCGACGTCATAGGATTTCAAGACATCTTTCTAAATTTAGTATAATGACGTCATTTGTTAAAATCTCTTTCTGGCCAATCAAATTCGGATATACACACGCGTCCAAAGCCGACTGGTCACGAATGTTCCCGAACCATTACACCTTCGTTATTTACGTCACAGTTCTTCCGTACGTTTGTTCTGTGTGCGAGTTTACTAGTCATTTACGAATTTTGCTGAGTTGTGCCTACATTTGTCGTATCAATTGAACGTCGACCGACCCGTGATCACGACCAACATGGCTACAGCTTTCCCAAATTCAACGCAGTTTAGGAGTTCAGCACAGAAGGGAATATTGCAGATTTTCAATAGTTCGTTTGAAAAAAGTCTCCCGCATTCACCGCCCAATGACGAGGCGGGCGAAGAAACTGAAATACCTTCACCAGACACGGACAGAACTATAAATTTAGAGGACCAGGCGATCACCAATACCGCCAAACAACTAGCAGAGGACTACATCGACTACAAGACAAGTAAATGCGCCAAGAAGCCATCGTGTACACATGCAGAGACCCTGAGAAGGGTTGGCGACGAGATCGACGACAAATACAACATCTCTCTGAATGGTGTGATAAAAAGGTTAGAATTTTCACCGGAAAACGATGGATATTCTGCTTACAGGGCTTGCCTAGATAGTATGTTTGACGAAGGACAAATAAACTGGGGCAGAATTGCCACAGTATACGTGTTTAGTGGGAGATTAGCCAAACATTGCCAAGAACAAGACACTATAGAATACGTGGATTCTATCAAAGAATACACCACCAAATACATCAGTTCCAAATTGTCAAACTGGATAAAAAAACAAGGCGGATGGGTAGGTACACTTCCTCAATATACTTTTTTTTTTGTTCTGCATTTTGAACAGTCTCGTTTCTATCTTTGTCATAAAAAAACTGTTTTTACCTCCACGAAGAAAAGGAGTTGCCAGTTAATGTTTAGCTCAATCGAATTAGGGTTTGGAAATGTGTGTGCACATTTTACCCATTTTACCCATGCTCTACGGACGCCATACGGCTATGGTGCTGAACATTTTAATTTATTCCAAATATGGATAAATCTAAATATGGATGCTTGGTTCTCTTTGTACGTCCATGTTTGATCATGCAACTAGAACAGGCATCCGTTCTGTTTATAATTCTGAGAATCGTGACTTACTGTTGAACAATATGGGCGCAGTTTTAAAAAGTGGGCAGTTGTTTCCATAGCGACTACAAATGAAGGAAACATGATTTATAGTTTTTTCCTTGCGTCATTTAAAAATAGTATATATCGAGGATTATGAATATTAATAGATTTTCAAGTAATGTCCTTTTTTGTATGTATTACCTTTAAAATACTACATCACATATTTTTCACGACATATTTTTTTTGTATTTAATAGGACGCTATGAATGAAGCATTCAAAGCGAAAGACTGGACAGAAAAAATTGCATTCAATGGTCTTGTGATGACAGGTGCAGTGCTTGGTGGATTAGCAGCACTCAGACTTGTGTTGGGGAAATGAATACTGGAAATTACCAGAACTGTATATTGTAAAAGAAAAATCGGGGCCCAACAGTATCCTTCTGAGGCTGCTCTAACTGGTTGTGTTCCAGTAACATTTAAACTATACATAGACACAATCCAGTGCAAAAGGTAGCAATGGTAGGACAGACCATTTTCATATGGGTGAAATAGTTGGAACCAACGTCTTCTCTAATATGTGCAATATGTTTGTGGGGCTGATATTTCTGAGAAAGTTGAAAATGTTAAATTCTCAAAATTGTCACAAGTTTATGTTTACATACTAGTAGTTGGATCAGACTGCCTCCCCTGACAGAAAATGGACTGTCCCAGGTGTTTTTTTAATCCTCAACTGCTTGATGATGATTTTGTTCAGTTGTAAGTTCAGAAACTTTTTTGATTATTCTACAGAGCTTGAACTTCAGTATTCCAGACACAAAGGTCGTTCAAGCTCTTAGCAGAATAGATTTGTGTCGCGATAGACATCTTCTAGCTCTCATGATCTGACCCACCTGTATTTTTTATGTGACTGGCACATTTTTTGTCAGGTTATTTATTCAGCATTATGTTATTTTTGTAGTCGGAAATATGTCCAAAACATCATCATTGTCATACATTTATGTCATGCTGTCCTCTTATTGTAACATAGCTGTTGCCAAATTTAACACACATTAGTTTAACTTCTATTTTTTTTCATCTGATATGAAATGCAAATGACAATCTGCTTTTGAGTCGCATCATTGTTCACTAGTAGGATAGTGGCTTAATAATAAGCAATGCAGTAACTGAAATAAAACAACTGCCTATCAATATTCAGGCTTCTGAAGCCTCGGCAACATTTTATGAAAAATAGGCAGGCAAAATTGATTGGATTTTTTTTAAACAAAATCTTGTGACCAGCTACATTTAATGTACAAAGTTAACTTTGCATTTACTTTATTATTAGTTTAAATTTCTCGATAATTGAGAATTATTCCATTTACATACCTATGTCATTCAGGGAGACTGAAATTGGGAGTGTAGAATATTTAGGATTTGGTTGACAACTGATTTGTTTGTTCCTTTGTACTGTTTCTGCAGTTTGAATTGTATTGTTTTCAGAGTATTTTTTATATAAAATTTTCTTTAATTGTAACCCTTTGTGCATGTGAGTCTGGTCATAACAGCATATAAACCCGGACTGCTCTAGCTCTTATAAATAAAAAAAAAGGTTTCACATTCATAGCGTTATTTGTTTCTTTCACAATTTCATGCAGTATTACATTGCAGGAATGTTTTCATAGCAACTGATGACTCAGCCCGTATGGTGTAGCCGGAGTGCATTTATTGGTAGTTTGGCAACATTCTGTACTGGACAACGACCCAATTCATAGCTGGTTAGAGTGTACATTTCAAGCTCAAAGCATTTTCAAAACTAATATAAATTTCAAAAAATTGTGTAATGTGCCTTGACATTGCAAGAAATGTTATTCTGTATTATACCCAAAGACCATGTCAACTTGCGTTTGGCTGCTGTCCAACTATGTTAACCTAGGCTGGATTGTGATTGGTATTTACCCCATGGGAACCTGACCAATACTTGGCACAGGTTCTAAAGATATAAAACATAATGATCAATACCAGGGCATTGTGAAATGTAAAATGATCAACAACAAAAAAATGGTGAGTGTGTGCTCATTGTTTGAAAGAATGAAACCAACATGAGTTTATTTAAAATTATGACGTAATGTGGCATAAATATCAGTGTAGGTACAGCATTGTGGATTGTTTTTTTTTGGTGGGGGAAGGTTAATTGAATACAATTGTGCTTTTCGTTATTAATGAATTAAAATACAAGGAACTAAATAAGTTCTGTGGAATTGCTGCCATGCTTTCAATTAAAAATTATAATCTATTTGTTTGCCAGTAATTTGTTGGCACTGGTCCAGATGTAGGTTGTTATGGAAAGTACATTATTGAAAAAAAATATTACTGACTGACTGAATTTCCATTCAAGACAAAATGCAGGTGGAACTGAAAGTCGCAATGAAAAAGGTAGTCACATAATGGAATTTTTGTTTGTACCTCAATCATCCATGCAAATCAACCCAAACATAGCCTACGCAGGTGATTTCAATTACAGAAGAATGTAGGCAGTGCCTACTCTTTCAATAGGGGTGTTAGGAATTACATATCTTATGATTTAGAAATTGGTAAAAGAAATAAATTATAGAAAGGAACTGTAAAAATAAAATACTACATGATGTATAGAAAGCAAACGCTATAAACATAAAAACACTAGAGGAAGCAAAAAAAATATTGACTACAACAACATTCTCAAAAACCAAATATTTTGTTTTTTTTCTAATGGCCAACTTGCATTGATTTGAAGAAAAATAAAAAAGATGACCAACAGTAGTTTGGCTAAGCTTAATGAGAGTGTGTTCACCCCATTAAATTGGGTAACTGTAGTTTAAAGTGTCTAAACGATCATGGATAGTGTGTATCATGATTTGTTTAAGTCCAATGTTATTGGTTTTATCATCCAAATCAAGAAATATGGTCTCCTAATAATACTGCAATAGTAATAAAAAAAATAAACAGGTGATATTTCGGCTCAAAAATCCTTCTGCTGATAAATGTCCACGTTTGTTTGAGTCACATGATAAACATGGGATGACGTTTAAAGCCATGTAAACAATGAACTAAAAATACCATATATGGTAATGACAATAGGTCAGTGACCGACTCTCACATGGTCAAGGTCATATCCTAGATTCAATGACTTGTGTGAAATAGTGAAACCAACAGCATGTATGAAAACAATTAAAGGGGTAACTGTAAATCCCTGGGACTGTGCTGATTAATTACTTGAACCCTACCTGTTTATATTGGGTGTTATTGTTGGTATTATTTAAAGGGGTAACTGTAAATTCCTGGGACTGTGCTGATTAATTACTTGAACCCTACCTGCTTATATTGGGTGTTATTGTTGGTATTATTTAAAGGGGTAACTGTAAATCCCTGGGACAGTGCTGATTAATAACTGGAACTCTACTTATGTTAGAATTATTAATCTTTATGGTGAGATTAGCTGCATGCCAAGATAGTTCTTCTTTTAAAGCCAGGGATTGCATCCTATTGTATCTTTATTTCTATCTATATAAATCTATTGTGATTTAATCTTGGACAAATTGTGCGAAATATTTTTTTTTCATTTAGTTTTGTGCTAATTGCTGTTAGTATTTTAAGTTTTCCCCAATTCTGACACCCCACCCCGAGATTCTAATGGTCAACCCTAAGTAAATTTTTCGTGAGATTAGGCTAAATGTTTTATTGTTTATACATGTCTCTGTGAAGAAGTTGACCCTTGAAAGCGCATTGAATTGTGGGATACTATTGTGTATGTTATTTACCTTCTTAAGTTGGCTTTTGTTTCTGTTCAAATATATATGAATGTGAAGGTGTAATATGCACACGAGCAATAGCAAACAATATACCAATAAGTACTGGTATTTGCACAATTTAAACAATGACCGAGTAGAACTGACACGTGACCCATTGTGTTAAGTGTGGGACTCAGACCTTACCGTCTTTTTTACAGGGCCTTCACGTCCATGGTGTAGGTTTTTGATAATTATTCACAACTGATCGCCTGTTGTTTGTCTCTGATTAGTAAAATCTGTTAAATTTAATCCACATGAATATGTAAAACTACAATACAACGCATTGCTTCACTGCCAAACTTGAATTCGCAAACGCAAAACCCAGTGAATATACTCAAAATAGTGAATTAAATTCTAGTGAAAATAAATGGCTTTATAATATACGATGCAATATTCCAGTATACACATGACACGATGTATAATAACGCGGCACTGAAAACATAGTTGTGAACAAGTAGCCATGGTAACACGAACAACCTGTTTGCAGATGATTCACGCGGTGTGTTACCAGATATTTATCACATGCTGTGGAATATTGTTCCCAGACAAATCAAGACCTTGAAAATTGTCATATAACGTACAGATTATAATAATTTCCCAAATTTCAATGTAAATTTATAGCATCCTTTATGACTTTTTCTCACCGAGAATGCAGGCAGATAATCAGATATCCGGTTGCAGATTACGCCGTTCACGTAATTATGTCTTTTTTTTAGTTCAAAGTCTAAATACAGAGAATAAAACGCTTTGCGACAAAAAGCTAGGCTAAGTCGACTTTATTTTTTAGCGTGGGCAGTATTTTGTAGGAATGACTAACAAATGTGTTTATCGTCATATTTGCATGTTGTTTGCCCTTTTGAGATGTCGTCACTGGGTGTGAATTTTGGTCGAATTGGCGTGATCGGCGACTCTGATTAGAAACAAAGCTGGTCTTTCTAGTATTGTGATCCCCGACAACGATTTTTCACAAGACGTGCAAAAGGATTTATAGTCCTTATCGTATACTCCCTATGTGTACTGGGATAACTATATGTTTATTCTGAAAAGGGACTGTGGTTTATTTCAGAAATCATGATGTGCACCCCCCCCCCCCCACACACACACATACATCGGTGATACATACATACTGCGTGCGTATTTCTGCAATGAACATAGTAATTACAGGTAATTGCTACAATACGCGTGACTGCGTTGGCGAAAAAATCGCGTCATCTTTAGGTCAAACATCACGAAAGTGAAAGCCATGATTCCGTGGCTGATTAATGACGTTGTCATAGTGATGAACCCATGGTCACGTGACATCACATCACAAATGTATTTCAAATGTATTTTAGACGGGGCTGAGCATGCAGTGCTTTCAGAAAAGCCGTTTACATATTTTAGAACTAATTTATAACATATTTACCAAAGTTTGCATTCAAATTGAGACTGAGACAACTGGATTGGCTGTAATAATTCACGCGGTGTTCCACGATGTTTCGCAAGGATCAATCAGATTCTGGTCGACACACCTACGCATAAGCGCGTGTATTCATCCACGATAACGTCACGGTGGTCGTTCTGATTTTCGAATTTATAAAGTTTTTATGTATACAAACAGTAAATTGTGTCAACGTGTTTTTTTTCAAAGCACTGTAATAAATAATTTGATTAGGCCCTGGATTTATTATTTGAGCTGGTCATATCTTTGCTGGGTTTTCTCGCTCAACACGAACGCTGCCAGTTAACAAATTTAAAGGGCGGCAGTCGTCGTGCCGCGTCCTGTTCGATATGGGACACATAACGACGTATACAACGCCTGTAAAATACATTGTTTATTTACATGAAATTCGAACACGCGCTGCGCGACGACCACCGCGTTTTAAGTAAAAAAAAATATGAATAAATAACAAAATGATAACAATACAAATAAAAAAGGAAAAAATAAAATAAGACAATACAAAAATCTTATTTTAGCCAGATTCCTATTGGCCTTTGTTATGATCCAGTACAAGAATTATCAGAGTCAAGTATAATCTGACGTCATTGTTTACAGGTGGTATATGTATGTATTTTGCTGTGTGTGTCATCTCCGGGGAAAATTTCATGGTAAAGAATGTTTATTTGTTTATTAGATTTTATTTATTACGAATTATTCATGTTTTTGTATTACTAGTAAACAATTCTGCCACGTACAATGACATCATAACGTGGTGTCTGTGTTTACGCGCAGCAGGTCAATGCCCCCAGAGACCTTGTATGGACGTCAGAACAAACAATGTCTGATCTGTATAGCACCATTCACAGTCCCTCAACAGACATCATAACACTGAGTGTAAACAACTTAATTATTCAAATACGTTCATGTGATCTACTGTTGTTGCCCGTGTCATCGTTATTCTAAAGCAACCTGGCCTTGACATGAAATTACTTTATTGTAATGATAGGATGGCGTGGCCCGACTGTACATTCTGGACTTGGAGAAAAACAAAAACATGTTTACGAAGCACTTGCCATTTAAAGTAGCTATTTTATTGCGAGACGATAAATTTCAATCTAATCAACAGGGACTTGAGTTTCAGACCATATAAATATGCATTATGCGTGTCGTTTACAATTACACGCAGAGAAGTATACTATTAAATATCAGTTGAATTAATAACCAAAGTATTACATTTATATAGTGCGTTATATCACAAACCACTAAAAGAAGTTATATGAGTCATGTCCACAGAACTGACATACTTTTAATATTTCATGAAAACATTGGAATAACAACTTAAATTTAACATTATATGTTTTCATCACATAGCTCA